CCCCCCCCCCCCCCCCCCCCCCCCCCCCCCCCCCTCGTCTCTATGAATAATTTATAACTTGTGGGAATGTTACATGTGCAGCAACTGTTCATTGCACTAAAGTTGTTCGAAATGTGAACTTGGAGAAGTTGCGCCACAACTATTTGTTTCCTGAGGTTTCTTGATCTTGAACTTAATTTGCAGCATTTTTAAGCTTTGATTATGTGTAACATAATACATATATTGTATAGATTATATTTTAACTAAAAGTTCCATGTTATTGTAAATTGTAGATAGAAGCAAGGGCACTTGAACATATGAAGAAGTATCCTGATGCCAACATCATAAGGCTTGGAATTGGTGATACCACTGAGCCCATTCCTGATATTATAACTTCAAACATGGCTGAGGTAACATAAAATCATTCATTCTTCTTTTTATTCTTTTTTTTTTTTTTTTTTGATGTTTTTGAGTGGTGATATAAATCGGGTAGCTGTTTCATATTCAACTCAAATTTCCATGAAAGTTGCAACCTCTTTGTTTCTTGAAAGCTTTTAAGTTTCATAATGTTTTGTAATTTGTTGGGTTAAATGTAGGAAATAGCAATGTACTTTTGTTTCTTCCTATTATGGCAAAGTATAATGTCTTAATAAGAAAAAAATAAAATAAAAGTATGATGCTATAATAGGTGCACAATATTCCTCATTTGATTAATATATAAAAAGTGATTTTGTTTGTATTAAAGTATGCAAAGGCTCTTTCAACACGCAAAGGATACAAAGGTTATGGTGCTGAACAAGGGCACAAGGTACATTTATTTGTCCAAAAAAACAAAAATCCTTTTAAAAAAATAATAAAACAGCCAATAAATATTATTTTAAATTTACAGGCTTTAAGGAAGGCAATTGCAGAGTCTTTTTACAAAGATTTAGGTGTTAAAGATGCAGAAGTTTTTGTCTCAGATGGGTCACAGTGTGATATATCTCGCCTTCAGGTTGTGTTTTATTCCCATTATTTCTTAAAAACCATTATATTAAAACATTTATTATTTTTGGATAAAAAGAAATTGATGCTTTCTTTAATTTCTTATCATGCAGCTGCTTCTGGGATCAAGTGTTTCAGTTGCTGTACAGGATCCAAATTTCCCGGTATTATTTTAATCTTCTTGCTATTTTTTTTTTTTTTTTTTTTTTAACATTTTAGAGGAATCTTTTTCCATTTAAAAAAAAAAATTACAGAAAAACACAACATAATTTCACCATTTCATCGATTTAGCCACTGAACTATTATTTTTCAGTGACTAAATCGATAAAATGGTGAAAACATGTTTACACTTTTCTGTATTTTCCCCTTTTCAAAACCATGTAACCTGGAAAAAACGTTATTTTTAAAAAAACTAAAATACAAAAAAACATCGATTACATAATTGTTGCAATTCACATGAGATGTTATTATTCTCAACAGGCATATATGGATTCAAGTGTTATAATAGGTCAAGCTGGAGACTTTTTAGATGAAACACTAAAATACAAAAACATTGAGTACATGACTTGTGGGCCCCAAAACAACTTCTTCCCTGACCTTTCAACCACATCAAGAACAGATATTATCTTTTTCTGCTCTCCAAATAATCCAACAGGTCATGCAGCCTCTCATGAACAATTAACACAGCTTGTGGAATTTGCTAGAAAGAATGGATCGATTATTGTTTATGATTCTGCATATTCTGTTTATATAACAGATGGAAGCCCTAAATCCATTTATGAAATTCCTGGATCAAGAGAGGTAGTAATTTCAATCTTTTTATTTTAGGCTTCAATATAATTGAATCTTGATATATAATCATATGGATGATGTTATAAGTTATAGTATTAAGTCCTATTGTTGTACAAAATTTGCCCTCATTCCTTTACAAGTGATTTTCTCAAATAATTTTCAAACATCACTTATCTATATATGGAATCATGGATCTTTACTTAATACAGAAAGAAAGGCCAAATAGAGAAAGTTTGGGGAAATGGGGTTTTTTTAAGGTTTTCCAAGTAAAATAACTATATAATTTGTATATATCGAGTAAATTACATTTTTGGTCCCTGAGTATAAATGGGTTTTTCAAATTTCGTCCTAAAAAGTTATATTGTGCACTTTTGGTTCTTATTTGAGGTTTTTGTAACGGTTTCGATTACTTTTCCAAATAAAATAACTATGTAATTTATATATATCGAGTAAATTACATTTTTGGTCCCCAAGTATAGCTGGTTTTTTCAAATTTTGTCCCAAAAAGTTATCTTGTGCAGTTTTGGTCCTTATGTATGGATGTTTCCTTGAGTTAATGTAGAAAGAAGTGGTTATGAGAAATGAGATTGAAGTTTTTGTTGTAGCTAATGTTTTTGTGTGATGACATGGACATGTGCAGTGTGCTATTGAAATCTCATCTTTCTCAAAGATTGCTGGATTCACGGGTGTACGTCTTGGTTGGACTGTGGTTCCTGATGAGCTGTATTATGCAAATAAAGTTCCTGTGATACATGATTTTGATCGAATTGTATGCACTTGTTTTAATGGTGCTTCAAGCATTGCTCAAGCTGGTGGACTCGCATGTCTTTCCCCTGATGGCTTCAAGGTCATCTCTCTCTCTCTTTCTCTCTCAGAATCTAAGATTTTGTTTCTTTTTCACTTAATGACGACTTATGAGAGTGTTTTTGTTAACTAATGTAGAAAAAACGACTTAATAGACAAAGTTAGGAAATAAGGCTTTCCCATCAAGTCCTAACCTTTTAGTAATAATATATAGGGGAATCTCAAATAAAGTCTCAATATTTTGGGTCAATTTATGGTTTAATCCCAACATTTATTTTTTGAACAGAAAAGTCCCGATAATCTAATTTTATATGACGATCCGTCGTTTTCTGTTGAAAAAAAATAAGGACTGTTTTGTTAATTTGGGAAAAATATAAAATAATCGGGACTTTTCTGTTCAAAAAATAAAAGTTGGGATTAAACCGTAAACTGACCCAAAATATTGAGACTTTATCTGAGATTTCCCTGATAAATACTTACCAACGATAAAAAATCATTGCTAATTGCAAAAAGAACGACTTACACCCCGCTCCCAAGTTGTAGCAAATAAAAGAAGAGAAGAGAAAGGAAAGTAAGGATAGAAGAGAAGAGAAAAGAAAGGAAAAAAAATTTGTTTTTGTGCTCCCGAGTTGGAGAGAAATGGAAGGAAAGTTAAACATTTTGTTCTTTCTTTCCAAATCCTCCCAAATCGGAAGGAAAGTTAGGAGGGAAAGTGATCCTTCCATTTCCTTCCACTTCCTTCCACTTCCTTCCTTTAATGAAACTCGAGAGCACCAATTTCTCTTACTTTCCTTTCATTTCCACCCATTTCCTTTCTTTTCTCTCCTTAAGTTGAACTCGGGAGCGGGGTGTTAATAAAGAAAGTCTGGGAAAAAGGCTTTGCCATTAAGTCCTAACTTTTTATGAATCTAATCTCATTTTCTAAGAAAGTAGTTGTTAATATGTAATTTATATATCGAGTAAGTTACATTTTTGGTCCCCGAGTATAGCTAGTTTTTTCAAATTTCATCCCAACAAGTTATCAGTCCTTATTTGAGGTTTTTGTAACTTTTTTTTTTTTTTTTATCACTTTTCCAAGTAAAATAACTATATTTTTAGGACCAAATTTGCAAAAATCAGCTATACATAGCACATACACAAAAATAGTCGGTTTACTTGAAACGAGGACTAAAATTGTAGGGAAAAAAAATTTGATTACTAAAATGGCGTTTTTGTGAAATTTACGAGTTGCAGGCAGTGATGTCGGTGGTGGATTACTACAAGGAAAATGCAAAAATATTGGTGGAGACATTTACATCATTAGGTCTAGTTGTATATGGTGGTGTAAATGCACCATATGTATGGGTGCATTTCCCTGGATCAAGATCATGGGACATGTTCTCTGAGATTCTCAACAAAACACATATAATTACAGTTCCGGGCAGCGGGTTTGGGCCCGGGGGTGAAGGATATATAAGGGTCACTGCTTTCGGGCAGAGAGAAAACATATTGGAAGCCTCGGTCAGGCTTAGAAACGTTAACTTGTAATAAACACGTTATAATTTGATTTTGGTGGAAGAAGACGTTAATTTGATTGATTATGATCGGATATAAAGTGTACTAAATTATCGTTGTTTGTGTAATAAAATGAACGTTGATGAGATGAGATTGGTTGGTTGTACTTATATATGAATATACGCATTAGTTCTTACATGTTTATATATTATCGTTATCATTCGTGTTAAGTGCAAGATATCGCAACTCATTTTTGTTGTTAATTTTTTTTTATTATAAATACATACTAGAATTTCTTCTTATTACAATATTGTACATTAAAAAGTTTACCTAATTTTAACAAGGGAAAATGACTTACGAGGTAATTAACTGTTGCTTTTGTATTCATTTGGTTATTTTTTTTTTATTTTTTTTTTTATTTTTTATTTTTTATTTTTTTAATTTCATATACCATTGAACTTGTTTAGGTGTTCACAGAAACCATTGAAACCGACTATTGAAGGTTTCCGGCAATTTCTTATCTCCGACGACTCTCTGGTCGTCTTCTCCGGTGAGCCTCCGGCAAAAATGAGTTTTTCCGGTAGACTTTTCTTAACTGCCATCCAAGCGGTACCCACTGCCGGTGCTGCTGCTTAGCTTTCTCCACCCTCCCCTCTCTCCCTCGTGTCGATTTGCTGCCAGAAAAACGAAGAAGGGACGAGGCAGCAAGCCACCTGCCACCTCCTCCTGCCATCATCGGAACCCACCTACCACCTCCTTTTTGCCGCCGATAAACCACAATCACCACCTCCTGCTGCTGCTTGCTGCTGCTGTAAGTCATCCAGCCGAGATCCAAGGATCCGTCGGAAAGCTCATTTTTGCCGGAGGCTCGCCGGAGAAGACGGTCGGAGAGTCGTCGGAGATAAGAAATTGCCAGAAACCTTCAATAGCCGGTTTCAATGGTTTCTATGAACACCTACAACAAGTTTAATGGGTTTAATGGTAAATCAGATACAAAAAAAGGAAAGTCACCAAATGAATACAAAGGCAATAGTTAGAGTAAATTACACGATTCGTCCCTCATCCAAGTGTCAAATGACACGTTCAGTTCCTATTTTTAAAAATTAACTCGGACTGTCCCTGCAATGTTTTTTTCTCACTCGGACTGTCCCTGACGGACATAAAATGACTATATTACCCTTTTTATTTCTTTTTTTATTTTTTTATTTTTTATCATTGACAATTTAAAAGAAAAACAAAAAATATGGCCCACCACCATAAACCCTTAATCCGCCTCCACCCACAACCTTCATCTTCATCGGGTCATCCTCATTCTTCTATACTGGAGCTATGGAGAGAGAGAGGGTTGTCGTCGCCACCACGACCACCGTCGCCAGAGAGAGAGAGAGAGAGAGGAGAGAGAGAGAGAGAGAGAGGAGAGAGAGAGAGAGAGGAGAGAGAGAGAATAAGAGAGAGAGAGAGAGAGAGAGACAGGCGAGAAGAGAGCTTCCGAGAGAGAGAAGTGGAGAAGAGAGAGCAGAGAGAGATGCGAGAGAGAGAGAAGCCCATCGCTTCACTCCACCCGCGCAACACCATTGTCAGAGTTTCTGGATCATCTCCGATTTGCAGGTTCGCTTACCACCTTCTCCAACATCACCATTGTCTTCTCCGTTCGATTATCACCACCTGTGCGCCGCCATCTCAAACCATTTAGGGTTTGCAGATCTACATTCGTGAAACAACTCATCTCGCTTCTCCGTTCCTAGATCTGCACTCCATGGATTTGCACTTCGTGGATCTGTACTCCGTCGATATACACGTTGAAGATCGTCTCTTTGAACGATTCTGGGTGGTGGTGCCGGAGAAATAAATCACACCCGCTGTTGCCTTCCATCTTTCCTGAAATAAATCACACCCTCGGATCTAAGGTTGCCTAGGATTTAGAGAAGAAGAAGGAGATGGAGGGGGACGACGACGTATGGTTGGAGAAGAACGTCGTCTTCCAGATACCGGCCATAGCCATCAACTCTCATCTCTGAAAAGATTTCTGGGATTTGTTAACAGGATTTTAGGGGAGAAGACTTATTTTTCAGATCTCTTTTAGATGTAGGGTTAGATTCAGGTTTGATTTTTTGGTTTAATTTCAAGTTTCTGTTTTTATTTTGGAGGTGAATGGTGGGTTTGTCAGTGGTGACTGGTGGCCGGAGATGGCTGATTGATGGCCGGAGGTGGTTGGTTGTCGGAGGTGGTTGATGGTGGGAGGGGTTGGAACTTGGAAGCAATTTAAGGAGAAGTTTATTTTCTAAGAATTATAATTAATACAACCATCAAGACCTCAAAATACCCAAAATGCCCTCAAAAGTCCAACTTGGTCAACCGTGGTCAAAGTCAAAGTCAACGGTCAAGGTCAACAGTCCATGTTGACCCAACTTGTCCAGTGCACATATCAACTCGTCGAGTTCCTTTAGTATTCAGAGAGGCGGGAAAAACCCCAACCAACTCGGCGAGTTGGCTGGAAAACTCGCCGAGTTTTACCCTCTTACACATTTAGTCCTTTTCATCAAGTCCAACGTTTCAAGATGTAGATCTAGCACCCAAGAGCTGGAAAGTCACGTAAAGTTACCAACTTTACGTTCATGCATGCCCCAAAGAGGCTCTAACTCTCAAGGAAAGAGGCCTAGAACTCAATAAAGTTTGTAACTTAATAAGGGATCTTAAGCATGAAAGAGGCCTAGAACTCAATAAAGTTTGCAACTTTAAGCCAAAAGAGGCCATCAAACTTCCATATCTTAAGTGATAACTCCATGAAATGCTCAACCCCATGCACAATCCAAAAATGAGTCAAATATGACAATAAACTTCCAAGGAAGATACCTAAGCAAATAGATGAGCAAGTTTTCGACTTTTTACCTCAAAAGAGTAGCTAAACTCAATGCGATTCTGGATCTATAGCTTTCCCTTCAAGCTAGGCACCACCAACTTCAAGCTCTTTCAAAATGAGACCAAAAGAAGCAACTTTTAAGCTCACACACTCAACTTGGGGGTGAGATGCACAAATTCTAGGGTTTCTGGGCATAGGAGGCGATTAGGGAGGCCAACAATGGGACTTAAGGCCTTTAAATAGGGTGCAACACCCTAAAAATTAGGGTTTCATATTCAGCCACCAACTCGTCGAGTTTTTCCTCACCAACTCGTCGAGTTGGTCCAAAAATACGCGCGGCCCAAAAGCCTTCAACACGTCGAGTTGAGGTGTGACATCCCCATTTTCACGGCCAGAAAAGACCGATTTTTGTTTGTGCTTTATAAAAATCAGAGTACCCTTTTAATAAAAATGTTGTGGAATTTGTTCCCAGAAAATACATGATAAATACTTTATCAAAGCATTTCCGATAAATGTATTTTATTAATTTAAAACATTTGGGATGTCGTCGTCAATACAGAAACATAAGCATAAACAGAACTTACATTCATTTACACTAATGATCTACATCTCTTTTAAATCTCTCAGTGTAAAGTAGCTTCATATCGACACCTGTGATACAAATAAGCTTGAGTGGGTCAGGTTGGGAAACCTGGTGAGTACATAGGGTTTTCAACCCACAATAATATAATTATTATGTTTGAACATTGAACAATCAACCCATTTACCCATCCCCGTTATCTCTTTTACTCTTAAGGATCTACCCTAAGCATCAACTATTCCTCGTTCATTCATTCCGAAGTCCATCGTCGCCAGGGTTTACACAATAGGCACTAAGTCCATAGTCGCCAGAGTTTATACAGCAGACACTAAATCCATAGCTGCCAATGCTTGTTCGTAAAGCACTAATTCCATAGATGCATTCATTGGGTACTAAGTCCATAGCTACCAATGTTAATCTAATAGGTTCTAAGTCCATAGCTACCATCGTTTATCTAACAGGAACTAAGTCCATAGCTGTCAATGTTATTTATTAGGCACTAAGTCTACAGCTGCCAATGTTCACTCATATCATCTTTCATCTCTCATCATTCATCTACCCATGTTTTACCCAACATATTCGTAGATATAAAATACATATACAGTTTAAATTATGTAAAACATGTATAAAATCGTTTATCCAGCATAGATAGCAAGTATACAGGTTATATGCACACATAGAACGTAATTTATATAAATTACTTCATATCTATGTGTAAGATGAAAGTAACTATGCACTCACTTGTTAAAGTGATGATTCCAAACTCGGGCAGCGCTTCGCTTCTAACGATTCTAATTTCCTTCGACGAAACCTAGCATTATTATCGCTAAATTTTAGTCTAATATTTATTGCGACTAATTATTAGTCTAGATTCGTCATTAACTCAGAGTCTACATTCATGATCTATCAAGTAAGGAACAACCAGGTAGGATCATATCGGAGGTAGGGTCCGTTTGGTATACGAAGTATACTGTCTGGAAATCCCAGTTTCAACACCTCACTAAATCGCAACCTAGACATCATTCCCGTAAGTAGATCAATCAGTATAACGACTTTGAATCACTGATAAATATTATTTATAGGTTCATAATAACGATATTATATTTAAATATAAGCTATATTTAAAGTAGGGTAGGCGTATCTCACTTACAGCGGGTTTTGCTAAAAAACCGGACTTCGCTGAAGCAGAGTTTCAGAGCAGAAAAGCTCTTTTTCTCGGAGCCTTCGGGCGCTCCTGGGCTTTCCTCTAGAACCTTGAGGTTACTAGGGATTTAGAGGGGTTTTGGGAGTCTAGAGAGAAGTTAGAGAGAGAAAGAAAGGCTTATGGTGTGAAGAAAATATGAAGGATTCACCCTTTATTTATAGGGGTTTTATCGTAGAGCAGGCCCTAAGTTTCGTCTGTATCTTCCGCGTACGAGCTATGTTTTCTACGTTCTTTATGTCCACACGTTGGTATTTATGAGTACTACAACTTTCATTTAGACCCCGTCGGCTAATTCTCATTCTATCTCCGATTTGCAAAACTGTATCGAATTTATCGCGCTCGAAGAGTAGGGACTAAGTTTCGTCCATATATTTGACATACGAGCTCTATTATCGACGTTCTTTATATCCACGCGTTGGTATTTACGAGTACTACAACTTTCATTTAGATCCCGTCGTCTAA